TTTGATTTAGAGAAGGTAAGAAGAGGAGGTGAAAAAGAAATTGAATATAATAGCTATTTTCCCGTTCAAGTTCTCTTTGGAGTTCCTGGCAATTCGATTGAAGTTATTTTTTTTTTTAAAAAAAAAAGTATTTATCACAATTTTTTTTGAGAAAAAAACCAATGATTTACGATTATTTATCGCATTAGAGGGGGAAAAAAATTACCACCATCTGATGGCATTATAATTTCTAACATCACCAATTGCATCCCAATTTCTACTACTAAATGGTTTTATCTCTCGATAAAAATCGTTAAAGATGCCACTCTAAAACAATTGATTGCGTTGTCAAAAAAAAAAGTCAGGAAAAGTTTCTCCGCCATCACCACAGGCACTACCAATATTTCTACCAAAATCGATGATAAAGCCATAGCTTATGAAATGGCTGAAGCTAAAATTAATAAAGTAAGTTAAAAAGACTTGGTCATAATGAAAAGTGAATTTGAAATCTGTGTGGACTTTAAGTTCATACGCATGAATAATGATAATGATATTAATGATGATATATCGTCAGTTTATGAAAAATTAATTGACGCCTTTTTGAAACAAAGATCTAAAGGAATTTTGCTATCGTTTTGAAACTTCAAGAGAGAATATCTCAAAAATTTTCTATGCAAATTGGGTATAATTTCTAAGCCAAAAACGTCCCATCTAAAGAGTGCATATAAAAATGGTATTAACTCAAACCATGATTTCGACATTCTATTGAAAAGTCCTACATAGTCTGCCTTCAACAATTCATCATCAAAGATTGGAGTAATCATCATCATATCTCAACGAGAAGGAGGAGAGCCTATTGTTTTGTTAAAATGAAGATATATTTGTAAAATCTGATCCAGAAGTAGGTGTTTCAAGTACTGCGGATCTCCAAATGCTATTGAAAGCTTGCATAACACAACAAACTCCACCTGCTGTTTCTTTTCTTTACCATTGGGTAGTTTTTTTAGCAAGAGTACTGTTGGTAATAATGTTTTCAAAGGTAAATAAATAAATACAATAATGATGAGAAATTACTCATGAAAATTTATTCTTTAATAATTCTTTTAAATGTGCATATATAAATGTTGATTTTTTCCAAATAACTATTAACTAATGATTCTATTTTGTAATTTCTATAATATTATATTATTAATATTATTAATAAATGATTAATTGTTCTAACTTCGATATATAATATTGGCTCCACCAAGCTACATTTCAAAAGTAAAAATTTTATTGCATTTTTAATTTATAGTAATAATGATAATAATAATAATAATAATATATGGGATAATACATACATCAATAATTTCGATTTCTTGTGGTGAAATATCTTTTCTTTTATATTTTAATGGTAAATCTGAATAATCGTAATACGTCTGAGCATTACTATCAGATTTAGATTTATTTGAAGCAGAAGCATTGGTTGTAATATCTGAACGAGTTAAAGATTGAGAAGGCAGAGTTGAACCTTTTGGAGCTGCTGGATGAAGTTTTGGATTCCCATTAATTGAACCTTTGTTATTCCATTTGTTGTTATAATAATTAATTAATTAAACATTTTAATTATTGTGAATTATAATAATTATTATTGATTTAGTGGTGGGTGGATATGCGATTACCTTTATTCAATTTACTCCTTGGACCTAAAAATTTTATTAATGGAACATGTTTATGTAATGCATTTAAAACAGAACTTGGTCTCATAATTTAAAAAAATTATTTAATATTAAAAAGATTGAAAATTAAATCTGCGTCACCTACCGTATTTGTGATATTTGTGGTTGCATTAATATTTATATTAAACTGACTGACTGGTAAAAAAGATTCATAAGAATTGTGATGCAGCATTTCCTCAGCCTCTATCTAACTCAATTATGGTATTTAAAAATTAAATTTCGTGCACCTTGGTAAAATTTATATATAAATTTCGAAAATTTTAGATCTTGCAGTCTGTGGGATTGGGATTATTATTTTTAACTGAAAAAAAGCTTGCAACAGAAGGCGTATTCTTACAATGGGGGGTTTTTTTTTGTTTTACTAATCATGTTTACTATGACCAGTTTTTTTTCTATTTTAAACCAATTGAATTCGACCCAACACAACACAACATAATAATAATAAAAAGATACTTTGTCATATGTGACAAATTCAAACGTTTAAATGAGTGAAGAAGAGGAGGTTTCGGTGATTGAGAGAGGAAGAATAATTACATACAGCAGCTGAAATAAAGAGCTTTGGAAATCAAAGTTTCTGTTTCAATTCCAGCTGCTGAAATTATTGAATGTGGTGATCCAAAATTTGATGAAGAATCGATCGTAGAAAATGCAATGATAATTGATTGAATTATAAATTTTTAATATTGATGAAGTTTTAGAAATTTTTTAATTTTTGAACCAAAGGTTAAAGGTAATAATTTGAGATGACATACTGCAAGTAATTTGGGATTTTTAGTCTATTAATGTCATCGCGAGAAAACTACTACTACTATTACTATATAATACCGCAGTAGATTGCGTAAAATATCTAGTTAGTGCTGTTGGATTGAATAAAACCCAATGCTATGGTACTGAAAAAGACTTTCAGTATTTTGATATTAAATATAAAGTATATATCTTTTAAGAAATTAAATGGTATCAACATTTTCTTGTAAAGCTCAAGAGATCGATCCCTTCTTTTGTGCTCTCCATGGACCTTTAAACGCCAAGAATATTATTCGACAGTAAAAAATTTGTGCGCGCAATTCACATACGTGAAAATTAAAATTAGCCAATCAAAAGGAATATCGACCTAAAACACCCTTCCATGTTTAGTTACTCGCTCATGCAATTTTTCCCTCGTTTTAAAATTCACATGTATTTAAACATTGTGTAACTTCTAAATTTTTTTTTGATCTTTGAAATTTTTCCTTTGCAATAATATAAAAATATATATTTTTTTTTTCACCATATATGGCATTAAGTTTAAATCATTATAATAAAATTTTGGTATTGAAAAAGAACAATTTACCCAAATTATTTTCAACAATTTGGATAATGAATAGAGCACGAAAGTCAACAGTTATAATAGCTAATAAATCATCATCAATCACATCATCATCAATCACATCATCATCATCGTCATCATCACTACCACCACCCTCATCGCCACCATCAGATAAATCTTTAACTTCAAAAACAATTCCAACTTTCTTTGAAAGATTATTTAGTAATTTTAGTTTTGTTAAGAGTTCGCTGCTTAATGATAAACAAGATAAAATTAAATTATCATTGCCAATAACATCATTATTTAATAATAATAACAATAACAATAACAGTAAAAATAATAACAAAGAAAATACTTGGGATCAAGCAATAGCTGAAGCAGAAAAATTAGTTCAACATAAAGGTGGATCATATATTGATCCTATGAAACTTGTTGGTGCAGATATAATAGATTTAACTAAAAATATAAAAAGACTTTTGGGTAGCAAACATCCTTTATTAGACACTGTTAGTAAATATTATTTTCTAACTGATGGAAAACATATAAGGCCTTTGATTGTGTTGTTAATGTCTCAAGCAACCAGTATAGCTGATAAAAATTATAATTTTACACAAAAAGATTCTTATAAAATAATAGATGAACAATTATCACCAATCAATTTCAAACTTAATGACACCACTACCACCACCACCACCACTGTTTATTCTTCTTTAAATCAAAATAATGATGAAAAAGATGACCTTTCTGCTCTTTATTATCCTTCTATTTCTTCTACTACAGGTGCAATAATTCTTCCTACTCAAAGACGTTTAGCTGAAATAACTGAGATGATTCATACAGCTTCACTTCTTCATGATGATGTGATTGATTTGTCAGAGACACGTCGTAATCAACCATCAGCAAATATGAATTTTGGTAATAAGATGGCTATACTTGCTGGTGATTTCTTATTGGCTCGTGCATCAATAGCATTGGCAAGATTACGTAATCCAGAAGTTATTGAATTATTAGCTACTGTTATTGCTAATTTAGTTGAAGGCGAATTCATGCAATTGAACAATATAAAATTATCATCACCATCATTATCATCATTATCATCATCATCAAAAAATTCTATGACAACTTTTGAGTATTATATGGAAAAGACTTATATGAAGACTGCAAGTTTGATTGCAAAAAGTTGTAGAGCTGCTTCAATACTTGGTGGATCAACAGTTGAAGTCTGTGATATTGCTTATAATTATGGTAGAAATTTAGGATTGGCTTTTCAAGTATGTTTTTCTTGTTGACTTTTTTTCCCCTATAAATTTTTCATGATTTTTATCACAAGAATAAAATAGTAAATAAATTTTAAAAAAAGGGGGTTTTTTTAATTAATTTTAGCTAGTAGATGATATGCTTGATTTTGTCATAACATCAAAAGATCAATTAGGTAAACCGGTAGGAGCAGATTTAAAATTAGGATTAGCAACAGCACCAGTTTTATATGCATGGGAAGAATATCCTGAAATTGGTCCATTGGTTAAACGTAAATTTTCTGAAGAGGGTGATGTTGAAATGGTTTGTAATTAATAATAACATAAAAATAAAATTTAAAAAAAATTCTATTATATTAAATAATAACAAGTTCTCTCATTCATTCATAAATAAATAAATAAATATATATATATTTGTATAGGCAAGAAAA